TTTGAGAAAGATATTTACCCCTAGGGGTGTTTTAACCCCTTCGGTTATCCCAAGACCAACTTTAAAATATGTAGATCACTTTCGAATTACGAGTTATTAGAAAACGAGTATTCAAAGAATGCATGGCCTCCTCTATTAAATTTTCTACATTGGTCAGTATTTAACAGGAAAACAGTCAAATATAAACGAAAATTTTAGTTTATTGAAATTTTAACAATGTGCATACACGCACGATATCTGTATCGTAACATCTCTGTACAATTACTCAAATGGTTGTCAACTCGACATGATGCCCTATTCTAATAATTCTCCAATCTCTTATTGTAATAGGATGTCTTATTGTATTGTCGATATTTATTTCACGTGTAACTATTTTAAAATAGCGAAGCACAATGATTTTTTTCATTGGTTAGGGGTGTATAAGCTTCTTTAAATGTTTAAGTTTAATGGATACGTAATTTTATAACAAGATTTTCTTTTAAAATATCATCTCTTGCTGAGAATAATTTTGAAGAATTAGGCTAGTGGGGCTTATGGGTATCAAAAGTAATGACTAGACAGTTTTCTGCTAGTATTACTTATCTTCTGGTATTACTTTTTGGGCTTTGTTTCCCTAGAAGGAAAGAGCTCGTGGAGTTGAGGAAGTTTTGATAAAACATTTAGTGCGGATTGTTTGATGCGACCAATAATGGGGTTATACCGAGCACGCGATAATAATTAAGTTTACGCCAAGATGCTGCGGTAATGGTCCTTAGGAAATGATTTTGTAATGAAATCTTTGTGAATGTGAAATTTGACTGCTACCCCCAGATTTGACATGTGTGAGTGAGCATGGACCGTACCATAGCTTTCGAGAGACGGGCACCGTATAGTGTTGGAGGGGAGAAGATCGACTTAAAATTGGAAAGAATATTGTGAAGGAAATAATCATCCACAAAGGTTTAATAATTTTATTAATTATTACTCATAGTGAACTTTCGGGAAACTCTTTTCCCATCCTCAATGAGTCTCTAGCACGGAGGAGAAAATTGAAACATTAACATAAGTTGAGCAAAAAGAAATACAGTGAATTTTGTGAAAAAAAGCAACAAATTCGGTGGGTACAAATTCGAAATAGCATAATTTATTTATCGATTAACAAGTGGTATATGTCTCTCGCAAAATCCTGGGAATTAGCAGGTCCGGTTTCATTTCGAGTTCGATTTCGATTTAGCCTTCAAAGTGCAGAGTTTGAATTCAATTTAGCCTGGGATGACTAGAGAGGCGTATTAGCGCAAGCGCGCAATACTGACTATACAACAACGCAGAACTTGATTTAATAGTGTCGAGGAACACCGATTTACCACACTGTAATAGACAATGTATTCTAACCAGACAACGTTTGTGTACATGTCAGTGCATTTAAGCTTTTCAAAATCTCAATTTTCGCAGATGTATTTTATGGTTTGAGACCTGTGGAAAACCTACATTTCTTTCGCAATATTTGGGTATCTAAAAGTTTACTTCCTGAACAAATATAATTTACGTACATTCTAAGAGCATGTTGTTGACTTACCACAAAAGTTCTTCGCCATCGAATACATTTGGATCGAAAGCCCCAATAATTGGGGTAGATGCCGAGCAGAGCGAGCGCGTTGGCGGCAATGGCGCCGCGAGCCAATAAATCAAAAGCGCGGAACATGTGTTTGGAAAGTCGACGGGATCGTTCCGTTGAGCAGGTAATGAGGCGCACTGAAGGCGTTCGAGGCTGCCGTGTTTGCGCCAGAGCCGGCTCGCCCTGCGCAGCATCGGAAATCGTTAGAATCGACGCGGAGAATAGTTTACAAATACGTCCATGCTCTCAAGGTGCGGCGGCAGACCGCCGCAGAACGCTTTGAAGGTGCGCGGCCGCTCACTATGTGAATCACAGGGGGAAAAAAATTTCTATCGCTATTAAGTCTTCCCTGTAAAGCGGTCGTCCTGTTCTTCAATATTCCGGCTGTTAGACTGTTATGTCATCTTACTTAGATTGGTCAGCTCCCACTCCGCCCAACTGCTCATCAGTCACTGGTCTTCCCGCCTGACAATCTGCACTGACAATGACCGCTCGACAATGCGCACATCCAACAGACATTTCGCCCTTCCACCATTTATCTGCCTATTAGAGCTCCCTTCAGTTGTCTGTGTAAAGGCACATTAAAAATGTTCAACTTTCAGTCACAAATCCCATCATCATAAATAAACATCTACGTCATTAAGGTGTATTAAACGGTATCAATTCAACCATTTTGAAAATGCGAGCTAATCATAGTGAAGGCATGGTAATGGACTGAAGGGAGGTATTGATCGACACTTTTACGATGAAGTGCACATAGAATACGTTGGGAATATGTAATTTTTCAATTTTGTCGTACCAACGTATGTAACTGAAATCACACAGTAAAACCTCCTGTAATTCTTAACCCCAAACACACTATTAAATTACAATTTTAATATTCTGAAGATAGTTACAAATGCTAGTACAAATGTTTAGGATTGAAGCAAATATGTGCGCAACTAAACAACTGTTTTAGTGGATAGGTTACTGAAAATAAGGAAGACAACTGTTCAAGAAATCGATTATATAATATTCCCATGGGATGAAGAAAAATCGTCGGTGCCAGCTGTAGTACCTAAAAAATCGACAGACTAACCGAATCAGTAAGCTGTGACATGGGTAAAGCAGTCTTATTTCCTGTCGTACTGGATTTTAGTGTCCGAATGTTCGAATATAAACCGAAGTTATATGTGAGAGGCTCAAATCAGGCAAAAATAAATTTATGAAAGAAATGAAAAATGCTTGTCAGCATTGAAGTGCAGAATTCAAGCAACAATTCTGATAATGTTTAAAACAGTTAACAAAAACGGAATCTTAAGTTTTTTTTTTCTCATCTCGTAGGAAGAGTGCACTAAAGAGCGAGGTGTAGTGGTGCCTCCCGGCGATTGGAACGGAGTTGCGCTGAGGTGACAGACCGGGGGGCGGGAGGCAGGAGGCAGGCGGCAGGTGGCAGATGGGCCAACAAGCGCCGCGTAAGGAGAGCCTTCGCCTGCGACTGCGTGTCTGCGTGTGCTTGAGTCAGCTCGCGCCTCGCGCCGCCAAGCCGCGCTGCAAACAATGGGGAGCTTGCTGGTGGAAGCTGTCGTTTCGAAAGCGGCGGCGGAGGCGGACGCGACGCGGCGCAGCTGCCACCGCTGCAGCCGCGAGAATCGCTGCCTTCCCTGAGCCGGCGGTGCCCGAATGCGGATGAACGCCTATCTCCACCAAGGCAACGCGAATATACGAGGAGAAATGGAAGAGAGGGAGGGTGCATTCATTGAATACGTATCATCAGGGGCGTCTAGAGGGTGGGGCAGTGGGAACAACTAGCCCCAGGCCCCCAGTTAAGTGGGACCCCCAAAATTGTGCACAAAATTTATTTTCTTTATACATCTTGTTGAAAAAAATTAGTAGTTGAGTAATAATTCATCTTGAAATATAATAATAATAATAATAATAATAATAATAATAATAATTATACGAATAATACAGACGTAAGAGGGGAACTCTTGTTTGAAACAAAGGTGGATCTACTGCCCCAGGCCCTGTTTCTTTTGGGCGCTCTTGAGTATGATATCTACAGTCCCATCAGAAGATTCTTCATCGGTAATCGTGCCTTGATCTTTCAGGAAGAGACCAGTTATATTCCCAAACGAACATCATATATTAGATGGTTCGAATATTAAACTATTATATTTTTTATCTGCAGAGTATTAAACAATGTAATTGTTATATTGATAATCCTACTCACGAGCTACTTCCAGTGCGTCTTACATGTCAACACGAAAATATTACAATAGTTTATCAATTTCGTAACATCTATGGCCATGAAATAATTGTTTCTTTGAAAATGCGATATTTTTTCTATCACATTTACTACCCCCGTAGTACATTCTGTATATTTCACGTACTTTTGAGGTGTAGAAATTTAACGTATTTGTGCGGATGCCAGTTTCAACTTGTAATAAAAAAGTTGTCCACACTGACTACTGGAATAGAATAAGTGCCTTTATTTCCGCTTCGTAAGTCAGTTCTGAAAAAGATACTCAATACTCCTGCACTTGGTGCGTTCACGAAACAATACCTCCTCTCAGAAATAAGCGGATAATTGCATGTAAACGATTACAATTAAGGCCACGAGACCCTAATCAAGTGAATCAATACAGGTCATTACGTCTAAATACTCGCACTTATTGGAGCAAAGAAAATTGATTTAAAATTACCGTGCTCTTCATCCTCTGAGAACCAGCCAGCCACACGTTTACATTTGGTTAAGCGTTTCACTTGTCTTTTTATGTTTGAAGAAGCAAATAAATTCACAATAATATCACACGTCTTTTATAGAATGAAGAAGATTGTGTATTTGATAATTCATGTATTTGGAGCCTCTATTTAGTATTTTTGGAAATGTTCGTATTTTCCTCAGAAATATGTACATTATCGACGATGCATGAGAAAACCTCGTGCATGTATCATTGTGTTGAGTTACTGACACAACATTTAAGCTACTAATTCAAAGACCTTTTACATAGAGATATGCTGGACGCCATACAAGCGAGTGGAAGGTTGCGAAAAATAAAGGAAATCAAATCACAAACGTTACCCGATTTCTTGCGAGTTTTCTACTGGGTGAAACGAGTTGACAACGACCACTAGCACAAAAGAACTGCTCAAATAAATCTCAATAAGTGTTCGGCACCGCACAAGCAAAGCTCGACTAATTTATAAAGCCAAGCTCTCTAAGCCAGCTGCATCATTCCGGCGCCCATATGCACTGCGGGATATTATTTTTAGAAGGCGGGCTATTATTGGTGAGGGGGAGCAATTTGACGAAGCACGTGCTTAAGCGGGCGGGAGGGGGCTGGATTTACGGGCGCGCACGCTGGCCGCCCGCTGAATATTTGAAGGCGGCGGCGAGCCCAGACCTAACGAGCGCGGTGCTTTGATGCGCAGGTGCAAGGCGCCGGGCCGCTACCTGCCGAACGCCGATCTGCCCGCCACCTCCGTCATCGTGTGCTTCCACAACGAGGCGTGGACGGTGTTGCTGCGCACCGTGCACTCGGTGCTCGACCGCTCGCCCCCGGAGCTGCTCAAGGAGATCATCCTCGTCGACGACTTCTCCGACATGCGTGAGTACTCACACCCAGTAATTACGTCTTAAAATAATGGAGGGCATCTCTGTCAAACTTAATAGATTTATTTACAGAGCCGGCTTTCGACGGCTTAGCCGTCATCATCAGTCTCGTTGTTTGTGGCTAAAATATCCCGAAAATAAATATATTAAGTTGCCAGAGATGACTTCCATTATTTCAACATGTAATTACTTCAATAATACCACATCAGCTGTCCCACAATACTCCTCTGCTTGCCGACGTGGACTTGCGAAAGGCTGTCTGGGATACGACGGCGTTTCGACCTTTGTGGTCTTCCTCAGGGCTGAAGTGTCTAAGGCTCGGTTTCAGTAAAGGACTCTTCAGGTCTGAGGAGGATCATGAATATTCGGCTTCACCTGGTCGGCCAATCGCATGAATGTTCGCGGAAGCCTACGCCATCACGGCAGCGGTGTTCTCAGACTTGTTAGATCAGCCATCTCTACCTCAATGGAGCGCACAGAATCATAAATATATTTTCCACATTTTGTACCTGGCCATTAACATTTATCATAAACCTTGAACAACATATCCCTTACAGTGATATAAGGCCTGTAATTTGAAATTAAGTTACCTCTTCACATAGTACAGTTCACAGATAGGTAGATTTTGGAGCACCAGGTTGGAGAGAATGTTTATATCGCTATCATATTCTAAATAAGTATCGGATTAGCACGTGAGATCTAATCGCATTAAAATTTAAGGAATCTTGGACACATTTAGTGAGACTGAACATAGAATTTTAGTGTTCTTAACAGGAAAGTATAAACAACGTGACTACTGTGCAATCCGGCTCAGAGTCGGGCAAATTCTCCTTTCCTTAGCTGAATCATATTTCACCAGTAATAGAAGCCTCATAAATCATTAAAGTGCGTTCTTGACATTATTTGAGGAAGGGATGATTGACATGTTAGTTTCCGGAGTGAAATCGAACTTCGATTTCCTCATGGACCCCTCTTTTATATCCCAGAGGTCAGGTGACATATTTCGTTTACCAAAATTCTTGTAACCATTACTTTCATCTACATCATTTGTTTCCGTCCCTTTTCTTTCTCGTCCTTCCGCTAGCCATCGGTTTCAAAACGTCAGAAAACGACTTGACTCAAGTTCGTGGGATTCTTCTTGTCGTCGAATCGATGGCCGTAGACCATTCGGCGCACAATTTCGGGAACAAGAGCGCTGCCTTTTATCATATATTGAAAGTCGTCGCAGGATCAACATGTCAAAGGAATGTCGCGGATCTCTGTCAAACGAAGAGCGATTTCCTGAAAGGACGTTTGCGCCTGGCTTTCATTATTTGTCCGGATGTTGGGGGTGGGGTGGGGGTGGGACGGAGTCTATTTGTGTCTTTGAAGTCCTGGGCTGTCCCACGGGGGCAGGTAAGGCGGCGGCGGCGGCGGCGGCGGACGCCTCCTCCTCGGGGCCCCGCACCCGCGCTCTTCCTGGTGTTTCTTTTGGGAAGCGCAAATGCAACATAATTGCAGGCCACCGCAGGGGAACCCACAAATTTTCCGCTCGCCAGCCTGTCTCGAAATTAGAATAAAAAACAATGAAAAAAACTACAAACGAACCGGCGACCAAGGAGGAATACTGAACCTAAAACACGAAGGATGGTACAAGTAGAGAGAAGCGTGAAAAGATAAGAAGAATCAAAGAGAAGATAATGAGTAATTGTTGCTCTATTAAAGTGTAATTTCGGATAGGGCAATACTAAGAAAAAATATGTAAAAATCAAAATTAGGAAGTAAGGAACTGTGAGTTACAAATAAATTTGTTAACTGAACCTAGCAAGCTGCATTAAAAGACCAAGTAAGAGGGGTGCTTCAGACTCAAAAACTCAAACCGTGACCAAGAACAACAAGAAATAATGGATGGAAAGTGTTGGTAGAGTGGCGGAGAAAGGGCAGAGAAGGTTTGAGATAGTAATCAACTGTCGGCGAGGGAAAAGGACGATTTTGTGGGGGGAAATGAAAGAGAGACTGTGAGGCAAGTAAAATAAGAGAAATATATAGAGAAGGAAACGTGTGAGCAGTCAAAAGAGAGGAGAGAAGGAAAACCTGGAGGAGAGACGTGGCGTAGCGCTGTGAAATGCGATTAAGTACGACGAATGCAGAAAACAGCACAGGCGAGGAAGAATTGACGATGCGGCAGGGAACAAGTGAAAGAATGTGCGACACACCGGGGCAGGCCGGAGTGGAGCAAGCGCGAGTCGGAGTAGAAGCGGGAGCGGGGCGGGGCGGGG